CAATGTTTTCAACTCAAGTGTAATGGTTGAAAACCTCTGGAAATATACCAAGAACCACTGACTTGGACACTTTAAAACAGTGAATTTAATGGTATGAGTTATATCAATAAAATTATTACAAAACAAAAATAAGACAAAGTTGGACATTTATGGGTGTGCGGTTTAGCGGAACAGCAGCTGCTGGCTGGCGCCTGTCTCTCCCGCGCCGCTGGAGCGGGTCCCGTGCACCGCGTTGCTGGAGTTCGCGCGTGTCGTGCACCGCGTTGCTGAGGCTCTCCACAACTACTGGAATGATGGCGACTCTACTGATCGCTGCTTTTCCAGGCGGGTTCTGTCCCAATCTACTAGGCACTCCCTCTGGGTTCGAGATCCGTCAGCTGCCAGGTCATGAGGGGAGGTGTGGGACGGCGAAAGCAGGGTCTCCGTGAGTCGTGGTTTACGAAGAGATCGTAGGCAGTAAGACACAGAACTCAGCTCAGTCAGACTCAGTGTACAGCTCCTTTATTCAGTGACTCAGCTCGGCTCCAGGTCTTAGTGATTCAGCTCCGATTAATTAGGGGAAACCAGGATATTTTATAGTGTGGGGGCAGTAGCAAAAGCCTTAGTTGATAGGTGCTTTGTAGGATGCCCCAATGTGGTGGTGGGCTTCTGCCAGGCTGGCAGACAGTGCCTGATTCACACAAGAAAACCTGGCAGTTTCAGAGCCAGAGGCCATGTTTTTGGTAGGGCATCTGTGGCGGCCACTTCGAAAGTTCTCTCAGGAAGAGAGTAAGAGACACTCAGCTGGGAAAAGGAGTCTCTGCATAGAACGCCGAGCCCCTTGGGCTATCCGGACATGGAGAGACTTTGACTTAACACAGCAGGGGTCCCCAACAGACATTGGCCTTATCATCAAGAGCTTCCAGACCAGCAATGTAAATAATGGTATAAACATCCATTTCTTTCATTTTAAAAAATATTTTATCTTTTAAAAAACTTTTAAAATTTAATTTTTGTGATTTTCATAGGCTGTAATTTGATAGTATTTAGATCCTTTCCCCTATATGCACCTCCTCTTATTCACCCCCAATTTAATGTACTCTATGTCATATACATAAAATTATATATATGGCCTATAGAGTCTAATTTGTGTCCCCAAATGTCTTCCAGGGAGGGTCCATTCACTAGAGCCTGGCTAACCTTCCAAGAGTCCCATGCTTGAAAGAGACTGTGTCTCTCCCTCCCAGCAGCCATTTGTTGCCAAAAGTTCCTTAGGTTGGTGTTGGGAGCTATTAATCTATTATGTACATTGAGCTGTGGCAGGCTTGTTTACTGAGTGTGTTTTGTAAACCAGTACCTAATCTGCCAAGTCAGGAGGAATGTGTTTATATGGTGGAGCTCACAACAAGTATTTGACCACTCCTTGACCCTCAGATACAGGTGGGAAAAACAGCTGTTGAAATTGAGTTAGGATCTCTGATGTTCTTCTGTATAAAAAAGAGGAGCTAAAATAAACCGGGGCTGCAGACTCAACTGACAGTCCTCCCAAGTATCTTTTCTCTGTCTCTTGTTTTTTCTTTCAATCCTCACTCCCCCTTTCAGGTACTCTCCATCTTGGCCGGCTGGCACTGGCAAATGGTGCCCGGACAGGGACCTGAAAAGTAGGGGAAAAAGTGAAGGACACCGCTGGAGAAATTAAGTGAGTGCACTCGGTAAGATTTGAGAGCAGTGAGTATTTATCTTGGGAGAAGATGGGGCAAGGAAACAGTCGCTCGGTTTTTGTAAGGAATATGCTTGGGGCCCGAGAAGCAAAGGCTGAGACTGAAGAGGAGAATCTGATAAGCAGTGGCTGGGATAAAAGTGAAACCAAACCTTCTGCTCCACCAGAGCCAGTTCCATTAGGCTTGCCACCCTTTTATGAGAACCCTCATCTGGGGCTAGAAGAGGGATCTCTTGACCCTGAGGATGAGTCTGCCCTAGGAGAGGAGAAGGTTGAGTATCATCAGGAAAAGTGTCCACCTCTAATTGCTTTGCCTGATCACTGGGAAATTAAGCAATTAAGGGCAGATTTAGAGGCTGTGAAGAGGGAACTGTTTAAGAACAAAGAGAAAAGAATTAGGACTACCCCAACACCCTCTATCATGGTAGGATTAGGAACTAGGACCACCCCAACACCCCCTCTGAAGGCTGTTGCGCCTCCCATGATTGCCATGGCTCAGGAGCCTTTGGCAGGAATCTGGTACCCGCTTAGAACCTTGCAATCTCTGTTACAACAGGCCATTGGGGCCATGGTAGAGTGAGGAGAGTCAGTGCATGGATTTCAGGTCTTCCCAGTTTCTGAACAAGTTGATCAGCAGGGCAACAGGGTGCGGTTTCATGCACCTGTGCCTTTTAAGCAGCTTAAGGAACTAAAGGCTGCTTGTGCTCAGTACGGTCCCACTGCCCCTTTTACTCAGGCTTTGTTAGAATCCCTGTCCACGGACACGCTTCCTCCTGGAGATTGGAAACAGATGGCACATGCTTGCCTTTCAGGGGGAGATTATCTGTTGTGGAAATCTGAGTATGAGGAACAGTGCCAGGTGCCAGCGAATACCAATAGAGTACAAAATATTCTCATAGATTTTGATATGTTAGCTGGTGAAGGACAATATAAGGATACTGCTCAGCAGTTGTAGTACGATGTTGCAGCCTATGTGCAGATCAGTGCTGCAGCCTGAAGAGCCTGGTATAAACTGCCATCTAGTGGTAGGCAGACTGAGGATTTGTCTAAGATCAGGCAAGGTCTGGATGAGCCATATCAGGATTTCGTGGCTCGATTACTGCAAACTGCCAGTCGCTTGCTGGGGGATAGTGAAGCAGGTTTACTTTTAGTGAAACAGCATGCA